CAGCGTAGAGTTAATTTTCCCTTCCTGCCAGCTCTCCCTATTAACGCCGGCATCGGGTGGGTGGTGCCAAACCCGGTAATTATCCCCTTTTTACTAYAAAAGATGGAATTCTCCCCACCCAGCGCCGAGAGTACGCAGAGTGAATCCCTGGGAACGCCTGGGTTAAGTTTCCAGGGGTGAAATCCCTCTCCTGAGTGCAGGGAGGGCAGGAGGAGCTGATGGCACAGAGCAGGAGCTGGGATTTGTGGATAATCTGGATGCTGGGGACACACAGGGTGACAACCACCAGAAAAAGCCACCAGGTGGGCTCAGGTGAGGTTGAATCCGGTGAGGAATCAGCTCCGTGGAGGGATTTTGCCCACCTGGAGCTCTGCAGGGCTCGGATCCCGTCCCTCGCTCGGGCTCACGGGCTCCGTGCGTGGCGCTTCCATACATATATAAATATCTATAATCTATAAATTTAGCATCCCTGCTCTCGGTAACCGTGGCAACTGGGTTTATTTTGCTTAAACCTGGCCTGGCATGTGATGTGCTTGGGAAGGAACAGCCGAGGGGAGAGGGGAGGGATGAAGTGCCGGGATCGGGGAGGAGCCTTGGCACGGGATGTGGCACGGGATGCTCTCGGGGGATGGGGGGACCTCGCTGTGTCACCTCCCTGGGGACAGCCACCAGCATTCCCAGGGCTCTGTCCCACTCCTTCTCATCCAGCTGGGAGCAGAGATTTGGGTTTAGGGTGTCCATGTTCCTGGTTTCTGCTGGGCTCCCCACGACAGCCCTATCACTGGTGCAGGGTCCTGTTTTCCAAATCCGGGTGGTTTTGCTGACGGTTTTCTCAATTTCTGGAGTTCTGTGCCTTCACCCAGAGCAGCAGGAATCTCCTGCCATCCCAGGGCAGAGAAGGGACCCCCTTCAGCTCCAGCAGAGCCCCACCAGGGTGCGTTTCCAGCCCCACATCCCATCCTGCTCACCCCAGGACACATCAGGCAGCCTCTCCTTGCGCTTGAACGCGCCAGCTCAGCCCTAAATCCCCTCTATTTTATAGAAAAACCCCATTCCTCGTGCTCTGACGCCGTTTCCTTCCCTCTCCTCCACGTTCCATCCCGATTTTCCCCTTCCAGGTGACACCGCCAGCCCTCCCGTGTCCCCCCGGCAGTGGCGGCCGAGTGGCGGCAGAGGGCGACAGCGACACGGCGGTGACAGCGACAGCGACACGGACACGGTCCCGACGGTGGCACCGACGCGGCCCCGACCGCGCTGCACTGCGCTGCCAAAAAACTTTATTGGGGACAAGCGACGCCCCCTCCCCGCGCTGCAGCCCCCCCGGTTTTCCGTAGGTTTGCTCCTGGCTGGGTTGTCACCCTTAGGGTGTCACCCTTGACTGTCCCTGCTTTGGGGTCTGGGGTTTCCTGTCCCCTCCCTAGGCACCCCCAGCCCTGGGGTAGAGGTTTTTGTAGCATTTTTGGGAAGTGAGGGATGGGTGCTCACCCCGAGAAGGGTCACCCCTCTTCCCGTGGCTAAAAAAAATGGGATTTGAGTGATTTTGAGGGATTTGAGTGATTTTTGAGGGTTTTGAGTGATTTTGCTCTCCCCTGAGGAGGCTCCTAAGGCACAAAATGGGGCAGGAGTGGGGGTCTCACCCTCTGGGGGTGCCAAGGGAGGCTGGAACCCGGCAACATCCAGCATCCCCCATCTCCACCGGAGCGATGGCTCCTTTCCCTGCTCCTCCACACCCCCAATTTAAGGCAAAACTCATTTTTTGGAGCGACAAAGACGATCCAAACCCTGCTGTACCCCCCAACTTCATCGGGATGGGAGCAGCTCCAGCCCCTCGAGTCCATCCCTGGCGTGGGATTTGGGGTGCAGGGGGTGACCCCCATCCCCTCGGCCACCCCCAGCGTCGCCTCAATCGTCGGCCACGATGGAGAGGGCGCGGAGCTCGCCCAGYTTGGCGTCGTTCTCGCGTTCGCGCTGCTCGTCGCTCAGCCCGGGCCGGTCGATCTGCGCCGTCAGGTCCCCGAAAATCTTGTGCATCTCCGTGTAGTAGACAACCTGTTGGAGGAGAAGGGGGGATTGGGGAGGGAGGGGTCTCCTCCCCACCCCGTTCCTCCCCTCCCYTCCCCGCGGGTGCCCTCGCTGGCCCCTCGCCGCGGCGTTGCTGTCTAAAATAGCTCTCTCGCATGTGGCGATGCCACCCCCTTGGATTATTACAACTCAACACGTTTTAATAACACGCTGCCCTTCTCCGCTCGCTTCCCATCTGCGAGCCGCGCGTGCAGGGGCTGCCGCCGGCACCCGCCACCCTCCCGCGGCCACCGGGACCCCGCGCTTGGCACCGGTGCCACCGTGGGCTTGGGGCTCGCCAGGAGTGGCGAGCGGGGCTCGGGGTTCGCTGGGCTCGGCTAAAGGCGCTGAAATGCCCCGTGCGAAACACRGCGACGATGAGGAGGAGGAGGAGGGGTGTGTTAATAACGTGCTAATTAGCACCGCCAATTATCTCCGGCAGCGAGCAGCGCTTGCCGGCGCGGGAGCCCGTGGGTCAGCGCAGGCAGATGGCAGCGGGGTGGCTGCTCGGGCGCGGGCTACGGCGAGGAAAAGGGGGGTCCCAGCCCCGCCTGGGAGACCCTCGGGGGCTGTGGGACCCCCAGCCCTGCCTGCAGGAAGCYCAGTATTGGGGGATGCCCGGCTGGGAGTGAGGAGAGACCCCCGAGGTGTCTGGGATCCCCGTGGCTACCATGGGACCACTGGCACTGCAGGACCTGCCTGTGACACCCCTGGCACTGCAGGACCCCCGGGGCTGTGGCACCCCTGGTCCTGAGAGCCCCCCGAGCTGCCTGGGGGTTCCCTGAACCCCTGGCTACCATGGGACCACTGGCACTGGAGGACCCCAGACCCGCCTGTGGCACTCCTGGCACTGCAGGACCCCCGTGGCTGTGGCACCCATGGTGCTGAGAGCCCCCCGAGCTGCCTGGGGGATCCCTGAACCCCTGGCTACCATGGGACCACTGGTCCTGCAGGACCTGCCTGTGGTACCCCTGGCACTGCAGCACCCCCGGGGCTGTGGGACCCCTGTGGGTGCTGTGCCAGCTGTGGGATCCTGCCCTGGACACCCCCCCGTGTCCATCAGGGAGGGACAGGGAGCGCTGCCCCCCCAGAATGGGCGATGCCAGCGTTGGCCCCCATTTCCCAGAGGGGCCCTGGCATTTCCAGCAGCACCAATGCGGAGACACACCGTCTCCATGGAGACCGGCTCCCCTAATCCTGCTCCAAACGATGCCGATTTTGGGCAGGCCCCAGGGGTTTTTTTTGGGGTCCCCCATCCCGGTTCTGCCTGCCTGTGCCCCTCTTCCAGTCCTGTCCACACCGGGGGTTTGGGGGCTGCTCCRTGGCCGGGGCTCCCCCCGCAGCGGGGCCGGCTGAGTCACAGCCGTGCTCATTTACACAGTGACTAACGAACCCCACACAGRGCTGAGCTGGCACCGACCCCCCAAAATCCCTGCAGCCCCCCCAAACCCCACAGCYGGGTCACCCCAAACACCCTCTGATGCGAGGAAGAGATGCCAAAACACCCGGAATGCCTCGGCAGCGGCACAGGTGAGCGGGGAGCTGGGGGGGGAGCGGTGCCAAGCGGGGTGCCCGAGCCCCAGAACAGCCCCCCGTGTCCCTTGTCCCCAACCTGGGGCCAGCTGGGCACTGCTCCCTCACATATGGCCAGGTGGCACTGCCAATTCCAGAACGGAAAAAGCACCAGTGATGAAATGGATCTGTCTGGGGTGGGGGATGCTGCCCCCAGGATTGTACCCCAAAATCTGGGGACAAGTGTTCCCCTCAGGATTGGTCCCAGGATTGTCCCTCAGAATTTAGGGATAACTGTTCCCCCTCGGGATTGGTCCCAGGATTGTCCCTCGGGATTTGGGGACAACTGTCCCCCTCAGTATTGGCCCCAAGATTGTCCCTCAGGATTGTCCCCCAGGATTTGGGGACAATTGTCCCCCAGGATTTGCTCCAGGACTGCCCTCCCATCAGGA